GTTTTTCATGCTGATTCCGAATATGACCTTATTTTCAAGCAACAATAATAAAAACCAACGCGTCACATCATCACTTGTAAATTTACAAGTGAGGATGTGAACTGGGCTCAAATTCAGCATTCGAAACACATTTGATCGTTTCGTCGTCATCATCATCATTAGCATCTTCCGCTTCGTCTGAATTTTGTTCTTGTTCATCATAATCGGACATATGATCATTTGAATTGATATTTTCGTCCACATCTATAGCTGCGTCTAATTGCATTTGTTTGTTCTCCAATGCGTGACATTTTGCGCAGAGTCCATTCACGTTAACATTATCAAGATCATATCGGTGGCGGATGAACGTAGCGAGCCGTAAAGAAACTGATCTCTGCACTTTTGGTGACATCACGATGGCCAATGTGTCGTGTTGGATGTTCGCAAAACTTTCTTCAAAAACTAATATTAATATAATTAAAATATGATAATCAACTAAAATACTGTGTTGTATAAACTAGACCCCTCCCCCATCATAGAAGACCATCTGGTCTTCTGTTTTGTCCGGCAAGTCGAATTCGAAAGGGTGATCTTCTACTGTGCTCAAGTTTTGTCGCATACTTATAGCCCAACGGTTACTCACGACGTACTTAAAATTCATCACCGGTTAGAACAACATTTTGGCGAAATTTTGTTTGAAAATTGCCCTATATGTAGGTATAGGGCAGTTTCCGATTTTATTTGGCAGACATAATAGAAGACCGGTAGTCTTCTATTTTAGGGAGGTGGTTAGAAAACCATGGTCTTCTAATTGACTTTCAAGTCATATAATCGACAGTGGTCTTCTATTATAGGGGTGTGGGGTTTCCTCTACTGCGATGCCATGTTGTCAGCTTATCATTTCAGCAGCTTTGTAGATTGCGGTCTTTGCTGAATCCATAACAGATACCTATATACCTATCTCTTAGCACACACAAAATTTAATTTCTGACTAAAAATGCTTTTGTTACATGTTCAACAAATTTATATTCGAACGATATCCCATAAAATGATTGCGTTCCTTTTTTGAATAACATCTCTCTGTACAGCAACAATCTGGATCATACAAATTGCAGCGACTAAACTCCTATGTCATCGAACGTTCTTTAAAATATCAGGTCACCCTCGAAAACAGATCGTACATGTCGGTGTAAAGCTTTCATCTATCTACTCAAAGAGAATCT